AAGTTCTTTATTGCACTTAGTGCAATAAAGTTTTTATTGCACTCATCTGTCATTCTACTTCAACGTGCTGTCATCATTTCAAACATTTTTTATATTGCAACTGTGGTTATATAGAAACGTCAGTCAGAAATTAAGTTGCGTTTTAAATTTTCCTACACCTAGTGCCGCACCTCAATAAATCATATTTTGCTTTTCGCATGAACGTAGAAAAAATGTTGTATGCAACTCGTGCAAAAATTGTTTATTGCACTCGACGTGTTGTCCACAATTTCACGTCGAGTGCAATAAACATTCACTTTTTGTACTTGTTGCATAAATAACTATTTACCATTCAAAATGTTCCTATCATGAAAGATATTTAGGTATAAAAGTAAAAAGTTACCTTTCCAACTATGACATGAAAATCATTTATCTTCCTGTCTACTTCCTGGACAAAAGTTTCTGAAAAATACTTGTGAACAACAAGGGTTTTGTAGGCTTTCATTTGCTTATGAGGGTAGAAACTGTGGGTCACTATAAATAGTAGGAGAGTATAATTCAGGTAGTCTAATCAGTCAGCAGTTTCAGATGTGAAGGGCTTCAAATCCTTGATCAACATCAGCTTCATCAGATGTCTACAAACAAATTATGGTTGTATGATAGTTTCAGGCATGAAAATTTACTGATTAGTTGAGAAAAATAGCCGAAAAAACAATAAATATTTATGCTTACCTCTGATCAACCTCTGGGCTTTCCTGCAATAACTTCTTGAAATATGAACTTAGCATATTGAAGCACTGTTCAATTTAACTCCGAGACTCCCTCAAACACCTGACACATAAAACTACCAGAATAATAGGGTGATTCGGACAAAATACAATTTAATTACAAGTGATGTATAATCTTTGTTTGCCAACCAGACGCCATCTTGTCAACTAAAATGTCACGTGGTTTGGATTGCCTACTCCGCATGCTGAAATTCTTTCTTAACTCAAATAATTGAATACTACTACTACTACTACTGGTACTGGTGGGGGACGTTTGCACGTCAGCAACTAGTCCCTAATGGGACCTTTTTGCAAGCCCCAAGGTGTTTTTAATGAGTGATGTGGTTCACTTGAGAGAGCTGGCTAACATATCTTCTTCAGGTACCGCGCCCATCAGCTCTCTCTCAAAGTTTTTCGGCTGAGTTTTGTAGGCTAGTAATGTACAGTCGTCTTCAGATAACATGTCGCACAAGGACGTTGTCAGCTCTCTTAATCACCGCTGCAATAAGAGCTTTGCTACTAACTCCATGCGCACTGTTAATTGGAACGCAACAGCGAATTGTGCAGGACTATTTCCAGCCCATGCCGGACGCTCTCCCACTGCGCCAATCCCGGCTCGAGAATGAATAAATGAATAATTTCGAGTACTTTTTTTTCGAAAAGTAGCTACTCATCATCAAATTTGCAAAATACTTTCAACAAAATCATGAATTCTGTGAAGTAATGTCCTTTATTATATGCATGATTATATTGAAACCTCCAACCTATCATCACTATCTGATGATGCCATGATTGCCGCCAGTAACAATTTTGTTCTCAAACTCTACATATTCAATGTTTCCGCCAGTTTCAAAACTGCACTGACTACGCACGACCTATTAGAGCTCGTGCGAGAATTGTTGCACTGAGCACTGAACTATGTGAACCAGTTTTTCAATGGAATTCAAAACCCGACACCAGTTTTACCAATGGAATACAAAACATGCACTGAGTGCGAGCCAGTTTCACACGACATTCAATAAATAGAAAAGTACTAGCGTTACGTTACGTTATGTAATCTATAAATCAGGGGTCATCCTTTTTATGGTGGACGGAATAATTTGTTACGTGAATAAATTCTCGACTATCAGCGATATTGTATAAATACCCAGGGCCCCCAGGGGACTCGATTCCAATTTTTACTCCATATTATTTTGGTACCAATATCTCTTACCGAGAAAAATGACTCAGCGCTTTGCTTCGTAGTCTTCAAATGTTTTAAAAAACAGTAGTTGGCCCTTCTTGCGACTTTCTTGCCCTTCGTAAAGTACGAGATGACCCTGTAAACCTAATTTCGGCCACTAGATTGGTCATCCAAACTACACATATCCCTATGTGGGAATACGAAAACGGCCGTCTAAAAATAAAATTTGTAAAACAGTGCATAATGAGATGAGGGAGCTCTTCCTGTACGCTAATTGAAACGGAAACGAACAATCGCTCGGGCCGCGACAAACTCGCGTGGCCTGCTAGACTTAAATTTGCTGATAAGGCCGCCGATAGAACATCAAGAGGCGGCACCGGTTCACGAAAATCTCGGGAAAATCGCGTTCCGTGAGTACCGTGCGTTCTGCGCCGGGAACAAAACGTCACCGGTCCACCTGTTGATGCTATTTACGTTCGACGCAAATATGAGGTGAGTCCACGCAATGTTTCAAGGTTATCGAACAGCAGAATTTGTGGAATACCTCTCAAAACGACGTGACTACATACGGTCTGAGTGTCATATATCCACGACAAAATATTTTGTCACCGCAACAAATGTTTTTTGTCAGTTTTCCATTCAAAATTCATTTGATGTAACTCATTAATGATTCAAATTAACAGCAGGAATTGGTTGAATAAACAAAGACTAGTTTGTTCCTATAATACAATATCTGCTCTTATGAACGATTCAATTGATTGAAATGATCATATCATTTCATTCAAGTGACAAAATTTTCAGTTTTTCAGAGAGTGAATATGTTAAAATAACAATATATTTTCTTCGATCAACTAAATTGTATTTAGAATTGACAAAATATTTTGCTGAATAATATTTTGAAAAATCCAGTAACTGAATTTAAAAACTAAGAGAAATTGAAGATCAATTTCCTCAGTTGATTCAAGACTATGAGCTTGTATAAGCGTCATAAGAAATTATAGGACAGCCTAATATAATTATATAAAGGGATGTTTTGGGTAGGTATATGTACACCCCAATCGAGGTGAGCGTAGGAAGGTTGGAAGAAACGCCACCTGGTGGCAAAAATGCAACTAGATAATCAATCAACAAAATATTTGTTTGATATAATGAATTAGTGGGTTCTGTTCTACAAAGTAATTTGTATGAAATAACAACATATTTCTTGATAGTGATTGATGTGTTTAATCTCGTGTTTAATCAACAAAATATAATGTTGTCATAATCAATTCAATTTTGTCGAATAGTAAAATCCTTGCACAATGGAATGACTGTTGACTCAACAAAATATGATGTTGTATTCAGTTAAATATTCGTCAAAATTAATTTAATTTTGTCGAATAGACAAAATGCATATGATTGATTGCACAATGAGATAATAGTTTGATCAACAAAATTTGTTTTATTTCAACTCTAAATGTTGTTGAATGAAATGAAACTTTTGTTCAAGTAAGCAAATATTTCAATCAAATTATTTTGTCTCTTTGAATAGATTGCTTATTTGGAATGAACATATATTTTGTTGATTTCGCAAAATTGTGTTTAATTTAACAAAATAAAAATGACCAAAATTACTTTGTTGGTGCAACAAATTTTTTTTTCCGTGCATGCTTGTACAAATTTCGCGAAATTCATGCGAATCGGAAAATATGAAATTCCCAACAGAATTCGATACGAAGGCGCTGAAGTGCCACCTATACTTTTTTCTCGAATCTCGACTTTATTCTTGGGATCCCAACTTTATTCTCGGGATCTCGACTTTAAAGTCGAACCACTCGTGAGAAAAGTTTAACTTTCCCCACTTGTTGCACAATATACTATTTTTCAATTATTACTTATTCCACAGTGGTTTTGAAGGGTATTGAAATTTGATTACTTATTGAAGAACTTCATGCATGGATAAGTCCGAAACGGGTGTTCTCAGACCCATGTTATCATGTATCATTGAATTCGTTCTTCTTAACTCTTTCCAAGGATGAAATTGAATACGGTGCATTCCATTCGGAAAGAAAATGACCGGTTTGCAAAATACGTCATCACTTTTGGTTATTTAAAATTTTCCTAATATTGACAAAATATCAATATAACATATAGAATTTGTTAATTCATGATGAAAACTGCGCATCAAAAATTTGCTTCTCAACGTTTATATAAGGCTTTGAAATTTGTCTATTTATTGAAGAAGATTATGGAAAAAGTCTGAAACGAGTGATCTGATACCCGTGATATATGATATATCATTGAACTCATCTTTCTGAGCTCTTCCCAAGGAGGGAATGAAATCCAGGGTATTTTATTTGTGAAAATGTATGTTTTGTATGTCAAAGGCATATAGACATAATATCTAAAAAAAAAATTCTACATGACTATAAACAACTCCGATTCTCTATTTTTTTGTATCTATTCAACAATGAGATTCTTAGCTATTGAGTAAAATATAAACAATCACCCTGTACGTACGATAATGATCGTACAGGTGTGATCCAATATTTGACATTCAGTGTACATTCAAAATCGTAGAGGAGGTTTTCGATTGATCCTGTGATGATTATCCAATGGATGTAAAATTATTCCACATATATATATAGGTAGGTACGTATAATAAGTAACGTTCGGATTATTGGTCGATTATTGTACATTGAATGTACATCCACAAAAGTTATGTAATAAAGGTTCCATCACTTTCTCTTTTTTCATTTTGCAATTCGCATTTGTTCGTTCAAAGGGTGCAAAAAGATTGTACAGATGAAACCCTACAACTTCAATATTTGAAGTTTTCCCCACTTCTTATAGTTGAAGATGTAGGTTGGGATCAAAATATAAAGAGACATCCTGTACAGGTGAGACCCCCGATTTCAAAGTCGGCGTTCCGAGATTAAAGTCAGGCTGTTTATTTCCATTTCTGATGATGTTTAATATGGTTCATCGGTACCAGTCAGTGAAAGTGGGACCAGGGATATACAACTCACAAGCATCTATAGCTTCTAATATCGATATTTTGTTCTAGAAAAAAGTGCCAACTTCGTCGTAAGATGTACGAGAGCTCCTGCTCGTACCAAGGTGCCCTTGAACTGAAAAGGAGCGCCTCAGCCACTTGCCCGCTTGGCATCAAAACTGAGGACTTCGGCTCAGCAGCCGACTGGCCCACGTACCGGTTTTGCAACCCCAGCACCTTCGAGCAGCTGAAGCAGAGCGTGGAAAAAGCCAAGGCAGCGCTGCAGGTGGGTACAATGAAACTACCCAAGTAACATTTCAAATGCCTAATAGCTTCGATGAGACTTTGAATAGGTTATATAAGCGCAAATGATAGGTCTATTGTTCTACCGTTTTATTAATGCCCTGGAAAAAGCAAATTGGCCTTCATGTCCATAAACTCCTATTGATAGGTTGTGAGATACTATGATAAAACTATCGCATAAAAAAATTTGGCATTCAGCTCACTTCGGTTTTAAGAGAGCTTTGTGAAAGTTATTGAAATTCTTCATCAAGACTATTCACTCTTAACAACCCTCTAAAAACACTTAAGTTTCATTAGTGTCTCGAATTTGACCAAGAGGTTTTGAACTAATCCTATGAAAATACTTCAAATGAAGCAAACATAAAACCAAATTTACGCAAGGCCAATTAGGATTTGACTGAGGCAATAATGAAACCTTTAAGCCACAATGAATTCATCGAAGTCAATCATAAAATCTATAGGATTTATCAAGTTTTTTTTAGAGCTGTGTTGAACCCAAATCCCATAATATAAATGTTCGTATTTTTTTGACAACGACTCACGTTGAAATGAAATCACAAGAAAATAAATGGTGTAAAATCAGGAGAAATGGCAACTTCAAGCGAAAAAATTAAGGAAATCACTTGAGAATCAAATCAAGTTGTGAGAGCAACAGTAAATCGGAATTCTCAAGCCCAAGCAATTCCAAACACTGCCGCTTTCAATCCATCCCAACTGAAACCACCAAATAGTACCATCAACGACTCAGAACGTAGGTAATGGAAAATACTTCTGATATATCTGAATGGGCACTAAGAAGCGAGGAAGATGACAACAGTTTTGCACGAATTATGTCAGATAGCGAGTTTTGCAAGAATTTATGAGAATGGAGCATTCAACACAATATCAGGCGAACTGCACTGAGCTTAGTTTGTCTGTTTCCTACTCGGTTTCCAATCACAAAATTCACAAACTCAACACTGTAAATAACAAAAGTACGGTCATGTTGATCATGTTGATGACGTTCTTTCACTTTTTGCCACACTGCCCAATGAGCATCAGCCAGGATATTCTCAAATAGTTTTATGAAGGCATTATCTTATATCCTTCTTATAACAATTTCATTATTTTCGAAGCTTTGTTGTCATACTCAGGAACAAATAGTCATAAGAATGGATTTAAATATGCAATGGAGTTCTTCAACAGGAGGAAATCGTCTCATAAAATGCCTTATCATTACCTAATGGTTTTAATAAAGCATTAGAGAAAGAAAATTGGTTTGGAGTATATTTTGCGCCATATTTACTACAAACAAATGTCGGCCATTGATGGAAATAAAAATTTCAAGCAGAAAATGAAGAAGATTCACTGATACTTCCGTCGAAAATGTTGTTTTTCTACATTTTTCAAACGACTCACCCATATTCAGCAAACATTCATTCAGTTTTGTCAACTTTTTCGAAAATTCATTAAGATTTACATACAAATTTAACTGGTTAAAACATATTATTTTTAGGGAGCTGCATTTTTTGAAGCTTATCTGGTAAGGTTTCGTCGAAACAATTGTCATCGTTTTCATTTTTCAGCCTCAGTCTCCACAAAAAAGACTATTTGATACAGTTGGGAATTATCATATCATACCGCCCTGTTTACTCTCTTAACTATTCATTGTTTTTTCTCCATTTTGACATGTTCGTATTATAATTTGTTAATATTACTCAACTGGACCAGAGATATTTTTTGGATGATTTTCTTGTCAACCTGACGAGTAAGTAACCTCACTTTTACTAATTTCTAAATTCATATTCAAGATTTTCCAGTTTTCAATTTTATGATGATGTCTTCTTCAATAGCTGAAAGTTGATTACTTACTTACAGCGCTCTGTCACGAGAATAAATTAAATAACAATTATTTTGCACGAAATAAACCTTTTTGTACTATTTTGGAATCCCTGATATACCTAGTAATTTCACGTATTGCAGGCAAACAGCGTAACTCTACATAGCCGTTACTCTGTTTGCCGGATGGTTGAGAAAGGAAAATATTTGTATCTATTCACTGCATCGAAAGTAAGCGTTTGTTCCTTTATTTGAGGGCACAACCATCTCAATTTACTCCCACGGGTGAAAAAAAAAAAAATACTTCTCGTGGGAGGTTGAATAAATTGGCTTTAGCTAGCTTCCTTGGAAGGAATATACGTATAAGATATGTGCTACCCAAGTACCTAATGAGTGTCTCCATCACTACTATATAAAACAAATAACAATTCCATATTTGAACTCAAATGAAATTTATTCATTATTACATATATTAGAATGCCAAAACACTACTAGATATGATATGCTAGAATTTGGTGAAAAATTGTGGAAAAACTTGTATTGAGGTTAACATTGACAATTGTCAATGAGTCAGTCATTTGTCAACTGTTATATTGTGTATGGGACATATAGGTACGTATCTCTAGGCTGATGATACATTTTGGCACAATTACAGTTAGATTAGATTGATATGGGGCTCATGTGCTACTAGGAGCCTCTCCACTGCGACCTTTACAGATCTATTGTGTGTGCCCTCATGTTATGTTAGAGTTCCTTGTCTAAACCCATCCTTATTACTAGACTCCATAGGCCAGACCTCAGGTCCTCCATATATTGAGAGGGCTGTGGTTTTTCCTCCCCTATCGTCGAAAACCTTAGCCTAGTCAGGCCTTCGCAGTAGCACAGTATGTGTGCTGAGGTTTCCTCATCTTCTTGGCAAAACCTGCATATGGTTGTGTCCGCCAATACGATGTTGTTCATGTGTTTGTTGAGTCTACAGTGCCCTGTCAGGAGCCCAACCAAGATCCTTGTTGTTCTCCTATTCTGGCTTAGTAGGTACTCCGTGAATTTTGGCAATGGTTCTTTAATGAACTCTTTGGCCTGTCTCATTCCCGGCGCCTTGTTCCACCATTCTCGAGACTGCTTCTTCATCCAAGTGCTGTTATTTGTTCTTTGCAGCGCTTTCGCTATACCACAGAAAGGTTCTGGACCGATAGGAGCACATCTTGCTCCTTCTCGAGTGAGTCAGCCTCTTCGTTGCTCTTGTAGCCTGTGTGGCCTGGTACCCAGGCTGAGTACAGTCTGTTTTGACTGCCCAGCTCTTGTAGGGTTTCCAAGCAGTCCCAGACGAGTTTGGAATTGATCTGCATGGAGCTGATTGCTTTTATAGCCGCTTGGCTGTCGGAGTAAATGGCGATGGTCTTTTCCTTAAACTCTTGCCTTATTAACTCTCCTGCACACTGATGTATTGCTGCAACTTCTGCCTGGAATATCGTCACGTGTTTACCTAAGCTCAGTGAGACTCTTGTCTTTGGCTTGGCTATATATATTCCTGCTCCTACACCTTCATCGGTTTTTGAGCCGTCTGTATAACAGGCCATTTCTGCATCAATTGGAGGACCTCCCTTCCATGCCTCTCTGTCTGTTATAACAGTTTTGAATTGTTTACCGAAGCTATACTTGGGAAGCATCTCGTCCGATGGCATTCCCATTATCGGGTCGGTTTCCAACTCTTTGTATAGTTCTCTGGTCAATCTATTGGTGACTGACCTGGCTTCGCCTTGTATGTAGACGTGAAGTGGCGGTAGGTTCAGCAAGACTTCTAAGGCGGCTGTTGGGGTTGTCCTCATAGCTCCCGTGGCTGCCAGGCAGGCTTGCCTTTGAATGCCACTTAGCCTTTGGGTCGCCCCAGCCTGCCGAGTCTTTGGCCACCATACCACCGAACCATATGCTATCATTGGTCTAATAACCCTGGTATATAGCCATATGATCATTTTTGGTTTTAACCCCCAGTTTTTCCCGCACATTCTTCTGCACAGGTTGAGGGCTATCGTGCTTTTCTGGATTATTTTCTGTAGGTGTTGATTCCATGTCAGCTTGTGGTCGAAGATGACTCCCAAGTATTTTACCTCTTGTGCAATTGGAATTTCTACCCCGTTAAGAACTGGTGGCTTCAGCCCTCTCAGTACTTTCTTCTTAGTAAAAACCACTATCGTGGTTTTAAGAGGGTTCACAGTTAGTTCCTCCTCTTGACACCACTTGTTAATTATGTTTAGAGCAGTTTGGGTATGTTCCGAGACTGTTCCTGCGAATTTGCCTTTTGCAATAATCGCAACATCGTCGGCGTACCCTAAGCAATGCATACCTTTGGATGTTAGCCTCTTCAGTAATTCGTCTACTAGGATAGCCCATAGGAGAGGTGATAACACCCCTCCTTGCGGACAGCCCCTACCTATTCTAGCTGTGACTGTGGTTTCGCCAATGGATGATATAATTACCCTTTTTTCCAAGCTGGCGTTTATCCATCGACACAGGAGGGATGGAACCCCTTTCTTTTCTAGAGCTTTGGTAATTGACTTTGTAGATGCATTGTTGAAAGCACCCTCAATGTCTACGAATGTCGCCATTGCTATCTCTTTGTCCTCCAAGGATTTTGTTAGTAGCCTGTTTAGATCATCCAGTGCCAAGTCTGTCGACTTGCATGGCTGATACGCGTATTGTCGCTCGTTGAGGGGGTTTGTTAATAAAACCTCATCTCTGATGTATCTGTCTATTAGTCTTTCTAAAGTTTTGAGCAGGAAGGACACTAGACAGATTGGACGGTATGACTTGGGCGTCATGTCATTCAGTCTCCCTACCTTGGGTATATAAATGACTCTTCCCTTCTGCCACTCACTAGGTATGTATCGCATAGCTATGCAGGCCTTAAATATTCTACATAGATTTGGAATTAGTATTTCCTGCCCCTTTTGGAGTAGGATGGGGTAGATTCCATCCTCTCCTGGAGATTTAAATGGTTGAAATTTGCTTATAGCCCACCTTATTCTGTTTGGCCTTGTTATCTCTGTGGCTAGTCTCCAGTCCGAGGCATTTGGCCTTTTCAGCTTGCTTGGCGGACTGTTCACCGCCACTGGCTCGTTTAGAATTGTTGCGGCCGGAAAGTGTGCCTCGATTAGCATTGATATACTTTCCTCAAAGGTTGTTGTGTAGGTATTATCTTCCTTTTTCAAGGAACCTACTTGATTTACAGTACCCTCCTTCGCCAACACTTTGTGGGTTCTAGAACATGTGGGGGTATCCATTACCTCCTCACAGAACTTCTTCCACGATTGCCTTTTTGCCTTTCTGATCTCTTTGTTGTACTGCGTAAGTGTAGCCTTATATTCAGCCCAGTCTTGGTTGGTTTTTGCCCTGTTGAATAGCCTACGCACTTCCCTTCTGAGGGTTTCTAAGTGTTTATTCCACCAGACTGTTTTGTTATTCTGTTGCCTTGTTTTTTCAGGGCAGCCAACCTCGTAAGCTGCAAGTATTGCCTTGCTTACTAGGTTTACTGACCTCTCAAGGCTTTTGTCATCCTCAATTTCTACCATATCTCCTTCGAGATACAGTTACTTCTAAAGATGATATATTTCGTATCATATTGAAATAGTTATCATTGCTTGTTATGAATTTTGAAAAAAAGAAACAACATTTTGAATGTAACTAGGTAGTTGAAATGTCATTGAGAGCTCTCGGGTTCTTGTCTAACATAAGTAAATAAGAATAAATTTCACTTGAATGATTCAGATATGTTCTCTTGTTCAAGCTATTGTTTGATTGGGATATGAATGTAATTTCCAAGAAAATTTCACACCAAACATTTTCGATCAATTTAAAGACTGTATTTTATATCGTTACCATAGCAACTGAACAAATTTTTTGGAAATCTTTTCATCCTCCTTGGGGAGCATGAAATTACACTGGAAACTTTTTGACGTTTGTAGGTTAAATGACATTTACATTCAACTTCAGATTATTTCGAGGTCATTTGATAAGACAATAAATAAAAATCATTCATCAACAGTTTACCATATAATATTAGGTAGGTATACTTGCAAATTCGAAATTTACAAAAACACATGTTGTAACTATACCTTAGTTCTTACATTTCCTCACAAACAATCAGTATTTTCAACAAAATCATTTGAGTGTTGTTGAAATTCCTTCAAATTGATCGAAAATGTGAAATTTTCTTACCGAATAAACACGAATATTCAGATAATTCATATACAATAATAGTGAGTATCAAAATATGAGAATTTAGTATTATAATCATACATACATTATAATATAGACCAAACAAAGATCACGTGAGCGTGCGGTAATATTGCCACATTGTTCTTCTTCACTTTCGCATTGCTATGGGGTGATATGAGATAATTTCTGAGCAACAACACAGTGTGTTTTTTTATAGGTGGTCGTAGGACAATATCTATCTATCATTATTATGGTATTTACCATTATTATGGTATTTTTATCTTCCCCTCTACATACGAATTGACTTATTATTGTTTCAGGATCGAAGTGGGTTTTTCGGAAACACTAGTGCTTTCAGTGACTTGTACAATGTTTCCACTGGACGATCTCAAGACAATGCTCAAGATGGTTCAAGCAGACTGCGGGACAATAATGAAATCGACATCAAGCGATCTGGTGAGTTCATTTAATACGTCATAAACATACAGATTATAATAGTTATAAAATGATGAGCAAATGTAATGGTTCATCTCGATGAACATGGCATTGCTTTATGAGATGCTAATATTCAAGGGGGCAATTCGTGTAGCCATTTCAAGAATGAAATTTCATATGAACGTATGTCGTCAGGGTATCAATGTTGAAAATATTCATATATTCTTTTTTATCTACTGTGTATAGTTTTTGTCATGGCAAGATTCAGTCTGCTATGTGACTGAGATGATGGAAACATTTTAAAATGTTACATACTGTGTTTATTCAGTAATAGATTTCCTGAATATAGAGAATTCGAAGTCTATAGTTTTTTTTTTATAGAGATTTGAATGGCCTTTTATAGCATTTTATGAAATTTGGAAATTTTATTTCGTCGATCACATTCAAGTAATTTATCGTAAATTATAAACAATAATAATATCCCCCTAACGGCGCCACTGGAAATACGATTGATTAAATGTTATAACCCTTACATTTGCGCTCAGGGTCTCACCAATTTATTGCAATATTTCCGTTTTTGATCAATATGTATCTCAAAATTCAAGACGTTCACGACATACGTACATATGCATTTTTTTTTCTTGAAATATGTCCAAGAATTGCGTTAGATAGAGAATGTCATTAAGAAACACCCCGTATATATCACCTTCTTTCAAAATAGAATATTCTGAAGAATATGCATGTTCGATCCTCGAACGATTTATCATATAATGTAGAAAAATTAATTAGGAATGAATTAAGGTACATTTATTCCCCTCGAGGTCGAAGATTCGACATCTACAGGGCGAAATTCAGACCCCTCACCAAGAACAATACTTTCAAACACATCCATATTATCGTGACTGCTTACTGCTTGATGTGGTTCAAAACTCGAAATTTCCAGCATCAAGTCAAACTTTTGATATAAAAGTCGGATTTTCGAGCAAAATGTTCGTTTTCCATATGCTTGATGTGGTTTGACGAAATATTTTTAAATTTTTTTCACTAGCAAACCTAATAAGTCTACCAGATTTTTTCACAATAAAATTACATCGTCTTGATTGTGATAGATTTCATAACGACAGTAGGACCCCAAGGACTCTTGCTGGGGCCATTCCTATTCAAAACTATACATTTGTCTATATCGATGATACTTTTCACCTCCTCAGCACATATCTGTAACATACACATGTTATAATTGAGATGAAAATCAATAAATCTAACGTCTCTACCAAGGAAGGAATTGATTTATCACCTATCAACTATGAATATCTCTGATATAGCTTTGGATGCGAAAGTTTTTGCAGAAAACGATGAACAAACTTTGTAATTCTGCTCAAAGTATTCATACACAGAAAGCTACTCAATACATGAGAAACAAATTGACGAAACATTCGTAGATAGTTTTCAACATTCCTGAATGTAAGATGGCAGGACGATGCCCCGTTACCATAGCAACCTCTCTGCCTGGAATCTTATTGGACCGCCATTTCCCTCGTTAGTTTTCCCTTCATTCCATCCTTCTCCCGGTTGCCATCACATTTTCCTGCAAACTGTGGGGATGATAGTACATACACCCGTCTACCCTAATAAATTTCGACAATTAAATAACGAAATTCGACCAGGAGCGGCGGGACAAAAGACACACGACTCCTTCTCTTCCCCTTTTTTTTTCTCCCGAATAATATATTCAAAGGAAACGACTCGAGGGTCACGATTGCGGAGAAAGAAACAAACGAAAAGTTTTCCTTTTTCCCGCGAAGAAAGGAATAACGCAATAAAAGAATAATAGCAGCGTTCACTTTTGGAAATTAATGATTTATTTTTGGGTCGGGGGAGGGAGGGGGATGAAGATAGCGTGCAGGATGTGCCGGGAGTTGGAAGTTGGAGGTCCGGAAGTGGGGGTCGAGGAGAAAGGTAAACTCTGGAGTTCCACCTGAGCCCATCAGAACGAACAAAAACAAAATGGTTGTTTTGATAGTGAATATTTTCGAAGTGGAAGGTTTCCGGAAGATTCTGGGCTTCTCACACGCGTTTTTCCTGCATCTCAGACACGCATAATAGCTATTTACTTACTCATACTTACTTACCAATATGTGATTTCAGACATTAATGATGATTAATAATGAGGTACTTCAGCACTCTGGTCTTGAGGGAAAAAAATAGTATATTATTCAAAGAGCGCATAATGATGACTGTTATCCACGAGTGGGTAATCTGAGTGGGTAATAGTCATTATGTGCGAGTAGATTACTATACTATATCTACAACTATTCAAATATCAAAGCAATTCTGAGAGTTCACAAATATATCTTCGGAAATAATGAAGATTATTATATTGCAAAATCACTAAATCTGATTTGAAATACCCATTCATTTCATCGAAAACTTATTTAGAGGGTAGACAACAATATGTACACCTGAATAATAACTCTAAATCTGAACTCAGAAATGTGCATCATGGAGTCCCTCAAGGATCCGTTCTGGGGCCACTGCTCTTCATCATATACATTAATGACCTCTGTTATCATATGATAAGAAGTGTCAAATTGTCCTTTTTGCTGATGATACAACCTCGATTTGTTCAAACACTAATATTTCACTTCTACTTGATTAGTGGTGCCCGCGAGAGTCTCGTTTTCGAGAGTCTCGCATGGTCTCGTCTCGTTTTCGAGACAAGACTCGAGACGAGACTCGGACAAGGCGAGACAAGACTTCTATTGGTCTCGTCTCCAGTCTCGTACAAGACTTCTCGTGTCTCGTACGAGAGTCTCGCAGGTAAATATTTCTGCGTGCCGACTGCAGACTTGAGAATTTCATTCATATAATACAACATATTTAGAAATAATTCAGAATATTTAGCACAGATAGACGAAACATTTTATTCAAAAATATTTCAAAAACACAATCCGTGATTGAAAAGGACCATTCTCAGATATATTTATGAACACAAACTTGAACGATGAAATCTTGTTATTTTAATAGACCTCAATCGCAGATTCGTGATTAGGTTTTTCTCAATTCAGAATTTCTTTCCACGTCCTGTATGATGAATGTCAATTTATCATACATCCAAAAAACAATCCATGATTGTTGTAAAACGACGTAATGCGTGAAACGAAAACGGACTATTCTTTGTCTTTTTTTTTATCGCTTGGAGCGCACGAAAGGGACGCGCACGGCGGAATAATGTTTGATTGAAGTTTTTGTTTCGTTTATTTGTTTATATATTCGAATATATCACGTGTTACTTCTTTTTTTTTATTACTATCGAATATATAATGCTGCTTCTTTTTCTTATTCAGATGAATGATGTAGGTATGTACCTATCAGGTAATGTAATTTTCTCTTCCTACTCCAATATGTATTATACCTAAAAATTAGGTAAAGGTAATATCCCGTACTAGACTGGAACAAGATTATGCATGACGAAATTGCGATACATTTGCGAGACTCTCGTACGAGACGCGAGACAAGACGAGACTCGAAGCTGCGAGACGAGACTCGAGACAAGACTTCATATCTCAACGGCGAGACGAGACGAGACTTTATGAAAGTCTCGTCTCGTTGGTCTCGTGTGAATCACTATACTTGATCATGCAGAACTTTAATGACCGAAGCTGAGGCTTGGTTTTCTGCGAATAATTTACAACTGAATAGAGAAAAAACTCAGAATCTCATGATTTCCAGCAATAGTCAAGTCACGGCAGGGAACCATTGTAAATCGCTTGGAATTATTTTAGATGACTCTCTGAATTGGTCACATCAGGTGGATTCCCTTAGTACCAGGCTAGCCAGTGTTTTATTTCTGCTGAGACAACTCAGACGATGTTGAAACATATATATTTTGGCCTTTTTCACTCTTTGATCAGCTATGGCACTGTTCTGTGGGGTAACTCATTTGAAGCTATGAAAATTTTTAGGTTACAAAAACGAGCAATAAGATTGATAGCAGGGGTTGGTTATAGAGAGCACTGCCAACCTTTATTCAAGCAGTTAGGAATCTTACCTCTTCCATGTATTAACATCTTTCAAAATTTGAGAGAAATTCATTCCAAAAAGCTGAGCATTTCGAAAGTTTCTAGCCTTCATCATCACAACACACGGTCTGCTGATGCAAATGATTTACTTGTGCCTCGCTATAGATTAGTCAAAACTGAGAAAAATTCGTTGAACTTTCATCTTTACAATAAATTACCAAATCAGGTCAAATCTATAAATGAAATATGCCTCAGAACTACTGTGAAGAAACACCTTCTCAGATATTGTTTTTATTCGATGATGAATTTAATCAAACTTCAATTTTATGAATTTTATGTACTTGTGATACGATCGAGGATCCTATCTTGTGATGTTCACAGAAAATAATTTTGTACGTAAAATTAATGAACGGCGGTCGTCACTTTTTTGAACATTAATATTACGAATCGATGATTATTACAATCATTTCTGATGATGGGTTCATACCGCAAGACACTGAAACAATGAACGAGCCAACATTGAACAATGAACGAGAAACATCAAAAGTTAATCATTTTTTTTATTCATGTGATGAAAAACTTCATTGAATCAACGTTTTATGTTTATTGATCTATGTTTTTCATCATTGGAGCAATAAACTTTTCGTCATGGATCTATCAACAACAAACATAAGAAAATAATGAATGGTCTTCATTGTTTCAATGAACACTAAACGTTGATTTCATGAAATGATACATCAACTTCCAAAACAGGCGCCAAATTAATGTTGCCTACCCATGGATCAATCACGCCAAACATTAATACTATGAAAAGAAACATCAACTTCCAAAACAGGCGCCAAATTAATGTTGCCTACCCATGGATCAATCACGCCAAACATTAATACTATGAAAAGGTTTCATAATACGCGGTGAATTTTTCATTTGCCATTTTATTTTATTTCTATTCGTTCAGTTGTTAATGGAAAGTTGAAAGTGCTGGGTCGTGTTTTGTGTTTCTGT